AAAACTGATCATGTCGCATCCTACTTTTACCGAGTACGAGTCCACTCCCTTTTTCATTAACACTCTGCTCCAAGTCAATTTGGTCTCTCTGCAATGCATGACCAAAATTGGGTTGCCATTGCTGCTGCTTTCCCCTTCATCTTTTCTTCCTTTAAGCCACATGTAGTCCATCGAAATTACCGGCGCGTTCCCGTTCCCCTCTCTTTTGCGTCTACGGTGGTTGCGTCTGCGAGCTTTTCCTCTGACACAGTGAGGGCACCAGCTTCGGTAAGGTAAATGCGTCGTGTTATGCGCTTCAACTTCCTCTTTCGGGGGCCTCATATCACAGTAAATCTTCTTTGGTAATTCTGCCTCATCACTCACAAATACATCTTCCACATCACTTAACTCACTATCGTTGCCCCCACTTTCACTCCCTTCGTCTCCTTCGGCATTAAAGACGTTTAAGTTTTCGCCTGGTCTTACGGGTGACGGGGGGCTTAGTAGAATAGATCCGCCCCCAGGGTTCCCGGCCGCGGAAAACCCTCAGTCATGTTCACTTCACTTCTAGTATTGACGGCTTCCTCTGGTCCCTTCGGCACCGTGATGTTGAACTGGAATGCGCCATTCTTTTCATGGATGGCCGTTAACTTGCCAGTCGCTTTGTTCATGATGTGGCTCAGGGACTTCCCGTTAGGATCCTTGTCGAACACTACTCTGTTTCCAGCGTTTACCATCTCTCTTACCGACCCTAGCACTTTGTTGACCTCTGCCACCTGAATTGGCATACTGACTGCGTTCCCATGCTCATTTTTACCTGTGATCACGCGTTGACCATAATTCTTTATCGTGGTTCCATTTGCTGCACTGTAGTGTCTTCCCTGCTTTGACGCGTCCGCATGCTTAATGGGGAAATGAGTGCCAACCTTGGGGGGCCCCACTGTGTTGTAGGCGCCGGAGTCCACGGTGACCACGATCGTCTCATGTGTTGCACTTGGTGGCGGTGCTGCGTTAATCTCCGGATCACCTCCACGCATCTCGATTAGTCCAATTTCCTTGCATTTCGCCAGCCAACTTTTTTCCTGCCTCGCGCTTTTATTTATTCTTTGATCCCACTGACTAGTATGGTTACGGTCTCCGTCGTACTGGTGTTCCTGATAGATCCTTCTCATGTTTACCGTGTTGTCACGCGCCATCTTCTTTCTGGCGTGATAGGGCAGGTCCCATTTCTCGTTAACCTCCTCGATCGCAGTCTGGTGTAGCGACACGTTCATTGCTTCCTTCATCTCGACGCTGAGAACGTGCTGTGGTTGACCGAACGAGGTGGTTTGTTCAGTTTCGGTGTTTACTGCAGGCTTTTCTTGCTCAACTTCGTTGGCGGTCTTCTTGGAGCCCGGGCAGTTAATGGCAATATGCCCTTTTCCGCCGCACTTGTAACATTCGCGCTCACTGTGCGGGGTAAATTTCCCTTGGCTTCCGTAGCTTCCTCCCCATGAGCCACTTCCTTTACCTCCTTGTTTACCTCCGATCTTACCTTTCACATAGGATCCGCAAGTGGCTCGGTAACCCTTACCTTTTCCGCCTTTGCCACCTTTACCTCCTGTGGTGAACTGCTTGGGCCTCGTGCAGTTCCTGGCTAAATGGCCCATGCCTCCACAATTGTAACACCTGGGGCCCATTCCTTTGCCCTTACCTTTGTTTACGGCGTCAATTTCTTCGTATTCTCCCCCGTCACTTTCATTGGCCCAGGACCCGTGATTCCACGATCCATCCTCTGACCGCCAGTTTCCATCTTCGTCAACCCATCCTGTTTGGTCCCAAACGTTTTCGGACCCTTGACTCATCTCGTTGATATTTCCAATGTCCATTGCATCCTTATTCTTTGTATCTGAGTCAAGTTTCTTTTTACGCGCCCAGTCTTCACACTTTGAGTACAACTTCTGAAATGAATCAATGTTAAGTGCGTCAGGCGTTCGCCAACATGCCTGCTGCCATTCGTCAAACCAGTCATTCGCGTGTACCATTATGGCCCTGAGCGCGGTGACTTTGAAAGGAAGAGGCAGCGAGTAATCTTTGCCAGATTTCTCAAGGTTTTCTGCCAATGCGCTCCACTCCTCAAGTCGGGCAACGGTGTCGGTGATCTTCTTGGGCGGCTCAGGATTCATGGCATGCGTCATTTTTGATGATAAGGTCGCTCCGGTTACTGCCGAATACCATTTGTAAACCTTTTGCCAAGCCATGATCCCGTCTCCATCCATCAGTCCCTTTAATTTTCCTCTGGCCTCCGCACCTTCAAGTTTCTCGTTCAGGATGTACCATAAGTCTTCTTCCATCTGAGTCTTGTCTCCTTCGGTAAACTCATATTCACCTTTGTTGTCGTCCTCGGCTTGCTTGGCTTGACTTGCCTTCAGGTACTCGCTTGCAGTTAATCGACCATTCATTATGCGTATGATGTCATCATCGTCCTCTTCTGGTACAACCCCGTCAAGCGTCTCCAGCTTCTTGTTTAGCATTTTCAGTGCCGGTCGGTAACTCGGCTTCACTTGGGCTAGTGCGTTCAAGAATTTGTCGTTCCAGTCTCTGAACTTCGCCCTTTCCCCACTGAAGTTCTTTAGCGCCTGTAACGCTTTATATTCGCTTATCGGTTTACTGCTCCCGTGCTTGTTTCCGCTTCCTCCTTTGATTGCTTCCGAGATTTGACCGAACCTTTCGATCAACTTTTCTTGTACTTCACTGTTAGTCTCCAACTCGGTGACTCTTTCCACTAATCTGCGAGCATCTCTTTCGAGCGCAGCATTTCTCTTCGTGATCGCTAACAGCATGCTGTTGGTCTTGTGGGCACTTTGCAACATTTGGAATGCTTCGGCGTTCGATACCTCCCTTCGGTCCTGTGCTACTCGCTCGTTGATGAACGTTGCGAGCCAAAAGTGGTTTGCGAGTAGCGCAGTTTGAACGTAACTGAAGTCCCCGTTCACGTATGCCTGCTCACACAAGTCGTTGAATCGATTCGGATCCATGTTGGCCCAAGCATCTCTGTCTGCCGGCACATTGAGATTAACTGGCGGGTCGCCTTGTCCAGGCCTCGCCGCAGCTGCCGCTGCCGCCGCCATGGCAACCGCGCTCCGCTACCATGCAAAACCCCGAGGAGGGTTCTGCACGGGAGCTTGGCGACAATGATAACGATGGGTCACCTTTATACTCCCGAAATGCGCAACTGGTCGATGTAACTTCGACCGTTAAACACTTGAGCCAAAGGCAGCGGGGTTACTATACCTCCCCTGTCATACGCATGCTTGCATGTTAACAATCCTCCCCCCTCCTCCTCCTCCTCCTCCCCCCCTCCTCCTCCTCCTCCTCCTCCTCCTCCTCCTCCTCCTCCTCCTCCTCCTCCTCCTCCTCCCTCCTCCTCCCTCCTCCTCCTCCTCCTCCTCCTCCTCCTCCTCCTCCTCCTCCTCCTCCTCCTCCTCCCCCTCCTCCTCTCTCTCCTCCCCCTCCCCCTCCCCTCCCCCTCCCCCTCCCCCTCCCCCTCCCCCTCCCCCTCCTTCTCCTCCTCCTCCTCCTCCTCCTCCTCCTACTCGTCGTTTGCGATCCGCTTTTAGTATAAGTCCGCCGACCCTGTCACTGTCGGCGTGTGTGAAAATAAGTTCCGGGTCAATCATTCCAGAATGGTTTCGGAAAACTATCTCTTGCTTTCATTCGATGTTCTTCTCTATTCCCAGAAATCCTCCTGAAGACCCTCTTTGGCTCGCTGGTCAACTCGAGGTGAATCGAGCCAGGTCGCAATCGAGGTTGTAATCAAATCAAAGGGAAGCCCCTTCCCCCTTTGATCCCTCCCCACCATGGGGGGCGGTCCTGAGGGGGGGGGGGGGGGGGGGCGGTCCTGGGGGACCTGGGTCAGAATACGGTCCCCCCCTTCCCTCTTCGGGCCGCCGTCGAGCAAATTTGGCATTCTTTCGCCGCTTCAGGTCCGAGAGCATCCAAGAGGGGCCTCGAGTTGCCAAAGAGCGCTCCAAGACGGCCCACGATGCCCTCAAGACGGCCCCCCAAAAAAACCAAGGCGCCACAAGAGGGCTCCAAGAGCGCCCGCAAGAGAGCCCCAAGAAGCAACAAACATTGTTTCCCCTCTGGTTGTTTGTTTGGGATGTTTGCATTCTCGCTATTCAAGAAATCGTAGGGTTGAAGTCCCTGGAAGGGTTTTCTGACACGATTTAAACGTCATAGTCACATTGATCCGCGGTATTGAAGTCGCAAGAATGGTGTTTTGGGAACCTGGAGGGAGGGTGTATTGAAACATCGTTGACGCGTCTCGGGTGTGTACTGGTCCTCCTCCTCCTCCTCCTCCTCCTCCTCCTCCTCCTCCTCCTCCTCCTCCTCCTCCTCCCCCTCCCGCTCCTCTCCTCCTCCTCCTCCTCCTCCTCCTCCTCCTCCTCCTCCTCCTCCTGGTCCTCCTCCTCCTTCTCCTCCTCCTCCTGGTCCTCCTCCTCCTCCTTCTCCTCCTCCTCCTCCTCCCTCCTCTCCCCTCCTCCGCCTCCTCCTCCTCCTCCTCCTCCTCCGCCTCCTCCTCCTCCTCCTCCTCCCCCTCCTCCTCCGCCTCCTCCTCCTCGAACGGTGGATGGTTGCGCTTTGCTACCGAGGGTCGCCTCGGAGGCTTTTTGTCGCTGCTGGGAGAGGCCAAGCCCGCGAGCAGAGGCCATGACAGCCGATGGCGAGCCCCTGGCTGAAAGTGCTGCGCGGGAGGAGGATAACGAGGAGGAAAAGGGAGGGCTCTGTCAGAATGTACGAGAGGGAGTGTACATATACACACATATAGTTGCCATGCTAGAACTTACGCAGTGCTGAGGTCTGGAAGGCGTCCGCTAATTACTCTAGGGTCCGCGTCCACTCTGGAGAGGGTCGCGTACTCCAGGGTTCACGCCCCAGAGTGCTCTAGAGAGGGCTCTAACTGTACGGCTCACGACGAAAACGATGACGACGACGACGACGACGACGACGACGACGACGACGACGACGACGACGTCGGCCTTGGCCGCCGACGCGGAGGGCGCCGCGGGCCCGAACGCGTCCCTCGACGACGCCGAGGTCGCGGGCCGCCCGAAGCTGTCGCCTGGCGCCGAGAGGTTGGGCGCCCGGACGACGACAAAGACGGCAATGGCCACTATGACGATGCCGAAGACAACCCAGACATCCTCCGTCAACAATTTTTTGCAACGTGGCTACCACAAGGTCTGGACCCTTTCCGCCAGACTGGCACTTCATTCTGAGTCGTGTTGCAACCGTTCCAGAGCCCGGCGAGGGCCCCCAGAGGCCGAAAAATAAGCAAAGCCCTCCGTCGTCGTTTTTCACTAGGAAAGGATGCCACGGGGCGCCGCCGACGACGACGGCGGCGGCGGCGGCGGCGCCAAAGGCGCGGGACGCCCGAGATCTGACGTCACGACAAACTGCAACAATCGCGAAAAATCCATACCGGAGTTCTAGACCCCACCTTCAGGCTGCCTTCTTCGAGCCAGATCGATCCGTGAGGGCCCCGCGGCCCGAAACGGGGCAGACTCGCCCGTGGCGAAGAAAAAGCAACGCCAGGATCTCAGGGACGCCCGAGGGCGCCGACGGCGGCGCCGCCGCCGGCGGCGGCTACGGCTACAGCGGCGCCAGAGACGCGTGACGCCGGAGGGCGCCAACGGCGGCGCCGCTGGCGGCGGCGACGACGGCGGCGCCGGCGCCGGCGCCCAAGGCAGCGGCGGCACCGGCGGCGGCGTGACGCCCGAGGGCACCGCCAGGCCCGCGCGGACGACGGCAGGCAGGGCCCCCCGCGGTGGGCGGCGGGGCCTCCGTGGGAGCTCCGCGCAGGGGCCCCCGCAGCGGGAGCTCCGCGGTGGGGCGGCCCGTCCCAGGGGGCCCCTCGGACGGACCAATCCCCGTGTAAGACGGAGCCAGGACGAGGATCAATTCGGGTGAGGGTACATCGAGAATCTCGGTTATCCGGCAGCTCTGGAAGATGTCTCGGGCGCCGCGGCATCCTCAGTGCGTTCCGGAACGCTCTGAGAGCGTTCTGGAACGGATTGATCCTCGTCCTAACCAGGTCCGACCGTGGAATCTTCTCGCTGTGACATGATCGCCCCACGAACCCGGAAAGGAATATAGAACTGTAACACATGGCAGCGTTTTCAAAGACATCTGGTTGGGTGACGGGCAAATGCAATTCTGAAGGTATCGATCTTGATGTACCCTGCCGAGGGCTGTGCTGTGCTGCACCGTGCTGAGTTGCGATGTGCTATGGCGCGATTTTGCTCTATAGCCTCGTGGATCGAGTCATCCTGTGCATCTGAGTCCTGACCGAACTGATCTGGATCTTAAGCTCGAGCTGCCTGAACACATAGTAGCTGCCCCAGAGCTAATTGACAGGGGAACATGCAAGGAGGACACGCCGCGAAACGTCCAAAGGGATGCGCCAGGCGACGTGCCAGGGGACGTGCCATGGGGTCGCACCGCGGGACGTGCCAAAAGGACGCGCTACGGAACGGGCCAATGGATGTGCCACGGGATGTGCCAGACGTACGCGACGTGCCAGGGGGGCTCGCCACGGGACGCGCCACGGAACGTGCCAAGGAACGTGCCAGGTTGCAATGCTGATTGTATCGATCTTGATGTACCGCCGAGGGCTGTGCTGTGCTGCACCGTGCTGAATTGCCCATGGCGCGATAGCCTCGTGGATCGAGTTCTCCTTTGCATCCGAGTCCTGACCGAACTGATCTGGATCTTAAGCTCGAGAGCTGCCCCAGAGCTAATTGACAGGGGGACATGCCTGGAGGTCGCGCCGCGAAACGTCTCAAGGGACGCGCCAAGCGACGTGCCAAGGGACGTGCCATGGGGTCGCACCGCGGGACGTGCCAAGGGGACGCGCTACGGAACGTGCTGGGGAAAAGCGTTTCGCTCGAGACATCCAATCAAAATCCAAGGAACTCCTGGCAAAACAAACGAAGTAGTCAAGACATCCTCGAACTTCCTGCGCGCGGGACGCGGCACGCGCGAGACATCCTCGGAATTCCTGCGAGCGGGACGTGTTCACAAGCATTTTGCCTCAGACATCCTCTGAATTCTGGCCCCCTACGAGGCCCCCGCTCGAGACATCCCCCAAGTTTGCAAAACCAGTGTTTCGCTCGAGACATCCTCAACAAATTATGAACATTTTGCAAAACCAGCGTTTCGCTCGAAACGTCTTCAACAAATTATGAAAGACAAGCATTTCGCTCGAGACATCCTGCCAAAATTCAAAGAAATCCCGCAAATCAAACGAATTAGTCGAGACATCCTCGAAATTCCTGCGCGCGGGACGCCGCACGCGCGAAACATAATCGGAATTCCTGCGCGCGGGACGCTTTTCCGCGTCGCTGTCGGCTCTGCAAAACCAGCGTTTCGCTCGAGACATCCTCAACAAATTCTGAAGACAAGCGTTTCGCTCGAGACATCCCCAACTCTGCAAAACCAGCGTTTCGCTCGAGACATCCTCAACAAATTCTGACAAAAACAAGCGTTTCGCTAGGGACATCCTCAAAAATTACACTACACCCGCGCTCCCAGGGCCACGATCCCTCGTAAATTACGCTACGTCAGCGCTGCCAGGGCCACGATCCCTCGTAAGGGCTCCTGGGCCCTCCTGGGTCTTCCTTGGACCTCTTGGGCCCTCCTGGGCTCTCCTGGAGCCTCCTGGAGCTTCTCCTGGGCCCTCCTTGGGCTTCCTGGTGCCTCTTGGAGCCTCCTGGATCCTCCTGGGCCCTCCTGGGCTCTCCTGGGCCCTCCTGGGCTCTCCTGGGCTCTCCTGGAGCCTCCTGGGCCCTCCTGGGCGAAGTCAAGGTCCGAAAACACATGGGACTTGCCACATTTCTGAAATTCGGTGCCACCCCTCACGCAGATCGGCGGGGTGAGGATCCGAAAACACAGGGGATTTGCCACATTTCTGGAATTCCGTGCCACCCCTCACGCAGATCGGCAGGGTCAGGGTCCAAAAACACAGGGGATTTGCCACATTTCTGGAATCCCGCGCCACCCCTCACGCAGATCGGCGGGGTCAGGATCCAAAAACACAGGGGATTTGCCACATTTCTGAAATTCGGCGCCACCCCTCACGCAGATCCGCGGGGTCAGGGTTCAAAAACACAAGGGATTTCTGCGATTTCCGAACTTATGCAACTTCAAGAATCCAAAACTCCGTTCCCAGTGCCGTTCCGGAGGCCGCGGTACCTCGTTATTTATCGAGCGAACGCGTTTACCTTTTGTTTTTTTATCGTTTAAAGTCGATGTCGGAAAAAAGTGGACTTCACCTGTGAAATATCGAGGTTTCCTGAAAGGCTGTAAAATTCCATGAGCACGATCTGCGTGAGGGGTGACGAAAAATGGCCTTCGTCCTCACAATTGAAATCCGCCGGCCCCCTTCGACCTTGTAATTTATCGCACAAGAAATCCGCCGGCCCCCTTCAAATAAAAACCGGGGGGTAAACCCACTAAAAGAGAACCCTGGGCCCACGCCCTTTCCGGGAAAAGGGAACCCTGGGCCGACGCCCTTTCCGGGAAAAATACACGTCGTGAAACAGACACGACCGCAGCCTTCGACCCCATCCTGGTTTTTATCCATCATCCTGTTTGTCGGTTCCTCGTTTTTGCTTGGATGCACAGCCGGATGCACCGGATACGCCAGATACAGGGCCGGATACACAGCCGGATACAAGGCCGGATAACACTGGGTACAGGGCCGGATACACCGGATGAACCAGATACAGGGCCGGATACAGGGCCGGATACATATACAGGGCCAGATACAGGGCCGGATATATCACACAGCCGGATATACAGGGCCGGATACAGGGCGGGATACAAGGCTGGATACACAGCCGGATACAGGGCCGGATACACAGCTGGATACAGGGCCGGATACACAGCCGGATGGGCCGGATACAGGGCCGGATACAGGGCCGGATACAAGGCCGGATACACAGCTGGATACAGGGCCGGATACAGGGCCGGATACAGGGCCGGATACACAGCCGGATACAGGGCCGGATACAAGGCCGGATACAGGGCCGGATACAGGGCCGGATACAGGGCCGGATACAGGACCGGATACAGGGCCCGATACAAAGCCCGATACACAGTCGGATACACCGGATACGCCGGATACAAGGCCGGATACACAGCCGGATACAAGGCAGGATACACCGGATACAGGGCCGGATACACCGGATACAGGGCCGGATACAGGGCCGGATACACAGCCAGATACACAGCGGGATACAGGGCTGGATACATACAGGGCCGGATACACAGCCGAAGGAGGCTGTAACGCAAGGCTATGGACAAAACCTTTGCTGCACGCGCGCCCACTTACAGCCCAGGACTCCAAAGAAAACCTGAGGGCCCTGGGGCGAAGGGGACTGTTCGGCAACGGGAGCATTGAGTTCCCAAAACACAAACCAGGAATACACAAAATTTCGCACCATCGGCGCCACGGAACATTACGCACCGTTGTTTGTGGATATCGCAAGCTTATGAAGCTCACCTGAAGAAGTACCAGAGGACCATTCAGTCTTGAACTTCGGTGTCTGAATTCTTACATGTATGATTTCTTTCCGAAGCATCCCTCCTGCTCACCCTGACCTGCTCCGTCCACCGTCTGCAACGGAGACGGCCGAACGCGGTTGCACGGAGTCGAGGCGCGCACACGCTTGACATCGATTCAAACAAGCGGCAGCACGCTACGCCTGACTCGCGCGTGAAGCGCTGGCAACAAAATCTGGCACGCAACACAGCGCCCCCGCTGGCTGGCCGTCCCCTGCCTACTCCACCGACCGACTGCTCCGGCTTCTTCTGCCACCATCCCTCCTGCTCACCCTCGACTCCTCCATTCACTATCGGCACACTGCTGATCGCGGTGTCACGGAAAAAAGGCGCGCACACGCTTGCCATCGATTAAAACAAGCGGCAACACGCTAAGCTTGACGACCATTCGGACGACCTGGCAGCACATCGGGGCCACACCAGGCAGGGGAGGTGTTGTTTGTTAAAGAGGACTGCAGATCGGGACAGAATTGTGTCAGGGGACCGGGGCCACACTGG